TGAAGTTGATAAGGTCACATCAAATTAAAACTTGGTACATATGTTGGTTATGTTGTGAACTTTTAAAACTATATGCCAAAGTATGAATTCGACCCATATATATTACAGATGACTGACCAAGGAAATGATAGTGCAAAAGGGACATGATACCATATGGACACATATTCATGGTTTTGCTTTTATGTTCAACAATTTTTCATGCTTGGGTCAATATTCAGATATTTTGAATTGCTACTGAATTATTGTAGGGTGTAAATGTCTATCTGACAAGGAATAGATAACTTGGATGGATGGGTGGCTGTTTAACATTCAGTGGTAAATTAAATGCATATTCAGGACGAGAACATGATAATATGATATGAATTAATATTATATAAATCCTAATTTGTACTAGACCGACACGCCAAGTCAGATTTTTAACATGCTAGTTTCAAGGTAACATTCTGCAGGAAGACATATCTCCATACCCGGACACATTATCCTGACCCAGAACCAACCAGTCTTTGCTTTTAAATGCGACGTGCTTAGCGGAGAAGCAGCTGAGTAAATAACAATTGTCCAGTGCTTCGAACCCAGAACATCCCGAACTCGAGGCGAGCACGAAACCATCGAGGCGGTATACCTAACTTCAAAAACTGACACTTGATATCAATTTAGAAATAAAATCTTTAAGACTAGTCAGTTTCTCATGTATTACAAGTAAAATGACTTTATTTTTATGCATGGCAATGGTCACTTGACCTTTAGGTATTTATAATTCAGTAATTAATGTCCAAGTTTTCTCAGTAATTCGGTCACTACTCTGATAATTATAGGTTTCATAACGAGTGAGAATGGGATATCGCTTGATATCAACTCGAGTTATTTAATTTCAATATAATAATAAACGAGCCTCGAGAGTTGATCCCATATTTCTTTTGGTAATCATTCCGAGGCTCATTGTGTTAAATAAAAACTTCGGCAATCGTTGATCTAGTCTTTTGCATTGGCATACCAATATGACGTCACGTATGTTTTGTTCCAGCATCAAACTTTAAAAGTTTTTTTTACTCTTCAGAATGTGATAAAATTTGACAAAAGGAAGATTTTTAGATGAAAAGTGTGAGTGTTTTGTATATGATCGAAGACATCACATATTTCCGCTGCTATTGGCGAAATGAACATCTTCTTAACCTTTGAAATGTCCTAACGAATAGTCAATGGCAATATCGTCTCATGGTGCTGGATAAGCCAGTCAAATTAAACTGGCCTTTTTTTCGTATCACACTCCTAGTAGTGTAATACGAGAAATATCTCTTCATGCGAGAAATGGAAAACAGACCACAACCATAAGAGAATAAAGAAATGGACACTACACATACATTGTGTTCTCTTATGGTTGTGGCCTGTTAACTATTTCTCGCATGAAGAGATATTTCTCGTATTACACTACTAGGAGTGTGATAAGAAAAAGTGAGAAATAGGTTTAACAACTCGTGAGAACTGGATATCGCTTGATATCTTAATCTCGTTATTTAATTTAAACAGTAATGATTTCTGTACTTTGGCAAAATCCCTGTATGGTTTAATGGTATTAATTTGTCGAACCACACGAAAGTAGAGGCTTTCCACTTTTATTTGATAGAATTTCTGTAAAAATGTCTCATTTTGTCATAATATGCATATTTTAATATAGCTGTTACGTCGTTTCAATTTTATTGCAAAAGTGGCATGTTGACTTTCTATCTTACCAGTTTTCATGTTTTCTAATTCGTGTTTCTAGGTTTTTATCTCGTTTTATTAATCATTTGTGAACTCTGAACCTTTGGAAAAGTAGATTAACACAGAAAAAGATGTGTAAAAGTATTTTTGGTCCAAGTCTAATGGCCCCTTTGAAATAAGTGAAATATGAGGATACATAAACTCATCATAGATACCAAGATTTCAATTTTGTACCCCAGACGCGCGTTCTGTCTACAAAAGACTCATCAGTGACATTCGAATCAAAAAGGTAAAAATACAGCTAAGCTATTTACATAAAAGTTGGTCTTTCAAAAAGATTTCACTGAATCTGTATAAAAGCAACAAATAATGTTTGTGTTACCTGATTACAGGCAAGTTTTCAACGACACAGCGATAAAACTTTGCATCAGACCATACTGTTTGCCAAAAAATGCCAGTAAATTCAAGAGTCCTTTTGCATTCAGGTTTCTTGTATCATGACATCTTTGATTTGAAATGAGCAAAAGATACAAGTTCCCATTTGCTATAGCCACTGCATGCATTTTTATATGTAAATATGTCAGTTTTTGTCTCGCCTTGACGGAGTCAAAAAGCGAGACATAGTTATGCTGTTTCCGGCTTCGGCGGCGGCGGCATCAACGATGTATTAGTTTGTAATTAGGTCTAGTTTATGGTGTACCACTAGTGGTAGGTCAATGATATTTGGTATGCAGCTGTATTAGCTTTGGCACATCTCATTACCATGAAGATTATTTGGCCCCTCCCCCTCAGTCGTGGTCTATTGACTTTGAAACTTTTACATAGTTTACAAGTTAATGTTTGAGTTTAGGCTTGTTTAAAGCGAATGACTTATGAAAAGTCAATGGTATTTAGTATGCAGTTGTATTAGCATTGGCACATCTCATTTCCATGGAGATTGTTTAGCCCTGTACCTTCAGTCATGGTTCATTAACTTTGAATATTTGCATAACTTACATGTTAAAGTATTCCTATTTTAATTTCAACATTTGCATTAATCAGAGACATATATACACATGTGTATATATGTCTCTGCATTAATTTATCAAAATAACAAATAGGCGGGACATATCTCTGTGTTAACAGTTTATTATGTCCATCCATCCCATAAAATTTCTGTCACATTTTCGCAGAATACGCTCGAGGCAAACAGTGAAGGGGGGCCATATATATCACGTTGTCCATGAAAGCATATAATCAAAACACCAAAAAGTCACTTATGAAAATATTGTCAATTAATAAAAATAGATAAAAGTTAAAGAGGTCGAAAGTTATAGCATTAAGTTAAGATCAAAATAATAAAGTAAGGAACAATAAATAAAGTCGAGGACATTTTTACCAACTGCCCGGCGTCTTACCGTTGGTAAAACGTAACAAACATATTTAACAAACACAATCATGGTAAATACAGAAATATCAAACAATTGAACATAAATTGAACATATCTTGATTAACCCTTTCCCTTTCAGGCATTTTAGACCTTTACTTATCGAAAAGACACTATCAAAGTTCAATTGAATACTGCATTCGCACCAATGGTCATGTACATGCCATGTTGGGCTCATATGAAAGATAATTGATCAAATATTTCAGAAAATTACGTTTAAAGATAATTCGTCCTTTTTTGGTCACGTGGGATGTTTCGAAATGTCACGTGACTTTTGGAGAAAATGTGAAAAAATACGAAATCCTTGGGACAAAAGTCGTGTAGAGACATATTGTTGCGCTAATAGGGTAAGGTTTTGATGGAAACACAATGCCCCAAGTCTGTTAAAGACATACAAGTTATCATATTGGTATTAAAAGAGGAAATGCGTGCTATATGCCTTGAAATCTCGATGTCCGTAACATTCAAAATAACTGATTTCAGACGCTCTTTTCGTCCAATTTCAAACTCGGACACTAGTTTTTTGTCTAAATCGATTTCAGTCAAGCAGTAACCTAAATTTTGTTTTTCTAAGGGAAAATTCATTTAATTACTAATGATAACTTGATGTGGCGTATCCTGGACCGAACCCGAGGAAGTAAATGGGGGCAAAAGGGGGGGGGGGGCAATTTGGCACACACATTCTTTTAAAAACAAACATTAGTATTTCGTTGGTTTTTCTTTTTGAAATTGAAAGTAAAGTTAAGTTAAGTTACATTTAATATAGGAAATAATTTTTCAACCTCCGGCAGTGAGAATCGAACACGCGATCTTTCCGCCTTGGGTTTGTTCAGCATTCCCCTGCACCACTGGCATCGTTAGGAATATATTGAAATTTAAGTACTTAAGTCTACTACTCAAGACGTGAAAAAAAAAATATATGAAGATCCTCACCCAGCTTGTTTTCTATTAGAAATTATGTGTTCAGATAATATATTTTTGATGCCAAATGGCCAAATGCATGGTTTTTTGCGCAAATATAGCAGGAATCCAGTTCTTAATCTGTCTTGTTTCCATTGACATATACATTTTCCTTCATTTAAACAAAAGTGTTTTCAACTTTATCATACCCAAACACTTACGAAACCATGTTTTGTTACATCTATTTCAACTTTGCTAAAAAAATTCAGGACATTTCAGTGATTTTTATCTCTTTTACGATAAAATCTTTAAGAAAGGACTACGGATTTTTAGCGCATTTCAAGTTTGTGTTTGCGCTGGTACACTAGAAATTACATTTTTAACTAGTGTACAAGTTAGAACTATTATTTTAATACCATTCTTCAAAAACTCACTGCACAGTTATTGAAAAAAGTCATAATTCCCCCAAAAAGGATAGTTTTCTATGCACTTCTTTTTGAAAATATTCTTTAAAATTCGAGGAAAAAAAAAGGTTTTTACAGAATAAATACATGTCAGTAAGAGGCGAATTGACTATGAACTGATAACGATAGAAGTTTGATGCACATTCAATCATATTGCTGGTATCCTGAGGATTGATTTGAGCCCTTAACCATATCTGTACGTCAGCAAATGACGATGGAACAAGACTAAATGCCCAAAAAATATCTTAAAATTTGCTTCACCGGTAAGCTGTACCGGTGTGAAAGGGAAAGGGTTAAGACTATCGTTTGAAAGCGTTGATTCACAGTTTTAAATGTATGCTGGAAATGGTTTTAAGATAGTTCTGTAGTATGTCATAAGATATATCTTATATAAGAACATGTCTAACTGTACTTTCGAATCAGACCTAAAAAGATGTTTTGGTCTGTGTTTCTGGCCAGGATGTTAATGTAAAGACATAAAACAGTAGAAGTGGAGATGTGCGATATTTTATTTGGAGTGTGAATACTAAAAATGTCCTTATATAAATACCAGAACAGATAAAAATACTAGATAAACTGTTATAACTTCCTTACAAGCAGCAACCCTCTATCAAGGAAACCATGATAGGAAACGCAAATCCTGGAATCCCATCAACTGGGAGAGATATACTCGATATGCAGGTGCTGTTGGATTGTAATGCTTCGCATGCTATACATGAAAAACCAAATCAGCAATAAATAGTAGATTTTTGTCACCTGCTACTTGTAGTATACATATATATATTTGCCATAAAATGTTTTTTTCAACTTTAGGTTCTGTATCATGTTTTAATGTGTATAGTATAAGATGTGGTTTTCACATCGTATTCAGACTGGGGAGCAGGTGATGGAACATTGACGTCATTGCAAGAAAAACATTTTAGGATTCACTTTTATTGAAAAAGTCTTGTTACAATAAAAGGTGGAGAAGGAAGGTAGTTTGCTGCCCCATAAATAGCACATTGCTTTAAATCACACGGACTTTCACTCCATTCATATCGTATACCACCAATAGAATGATGACTTAGGCTGCATTTTGATGTATCCAAAGTTATACTTGATGTATCATGACTCTTAATTGGTGCATTGGTCCAACCATAATCATGTGCGTATGCATGACAAACTTTATGAGATGATGAACAGCATATCTGTAATAAATATTTGCTTTTAACGATAAAATATTTTAAAATATATATTATGACTATTATGAATAAAGAAGATATTGTATATATACGTCAATGTTGTAAAAATTTAATCTAAATTGCCAAATATCTGCCATCAACTCCCAAGGAAAAAGACATAAACATATAAACCTTTTAAAACTAACTTATATTCGGTATGAGTTTTGCTCATTGCCGCAGGCTATACTGTGACATATAGTTGCTTACAACTACGTCATTTGGCCTCTGGTAGATAGTTGTCTCATTGGCAATTATACCACATGTTTTTATAAAGACGGGTAACCGTTGACAAGGTTTCTGAATTTGAAGAAGTGAAAAAAAAAATAGATATATATTATATTTTCCATTGTGTCTGAAATGCTATCAATTACTGACAGCTAATTTAAAGTTCTCAATCTTCCGATAAAAAAAAACAAATCTTCTAACACTCAAAAACAGAGTGCTGCTTATTTTATAAAGCAACGTCTTGAACAGTATAGAAAACACAATCTTGTACAACCCATAATGAATTTTAGAAATAGTCAAAACTGAAAATTAAATGAATCAAAATTGAATTCGTGTTTCAAACTGTAAATAAATCACCCTAATTTAAGACACAATGACTTAACAATGAGTCTATTGGAAGCTTGCAAGAAATTTGAAGCCCTTCTTAAATGTCTGCTTCATATATCTGATACCGTTAACCAACAGCTTAATGTTAAAAACCATGTTATGGTGGAATCGTTGTATCGTACCCCTTGAATTGATCCCTATATTTTATTTTTACTATTTTATGGTCATCTGAAGGCCAATCAAAACTAACACCAGGCCACAGATGTGACAGTTTATGTTTCAAAATTAATCATATCGAAAGATACATATATAAAATTTGTATATACTACAATTATAAGTACCAATTGTGAATTTAAATATCAATACTTTTAGTACAATCTGAACCCATAAGCATATTATGTAATAAGTGAAAAAGACAAATGTCATCAATTATTAAAATGGAAATTTTTGAAAAGGCAATCAATTTAGAGTTATCTCCCCTTGACCATACATTTGTTAATAACAGTGTAACATCTCGACTTTTTGGAGCAGATACCGCCTATTTTCATCACATTTAAATCTAAAAATGATAGAAAAACTATTCTAGGTGGAAGAAGGGGAGGAGGAGGGGATTAGAATATTTTATGAAATTGAGTGTCTTCCTTCAGCAGCTATTTCCAAAAAAGAGGCTGCATATTAAAACATGTGCTTAAAGTAGCGCCCCATATCAATTACAAAAATTCCTCAAAGTTTCATATGAGATATATACCTATGTACAAAACTATTTTCTACATCTTTCTAAAATTTACAACTATGATATCAAAAGACTTACAAATAAAAGTTACAATATTTCATTGTACCACAAAGTCATTTATGCTGCACATAAGTGTATTTGTTAGTTTTGAACAATTTATAACATGCTTATCTCTTGATAAGAAAAATGCAAAAACAAATGTTTTTGTTAATGGAAACTTCACTTCAAACTCGTTTATATCTAGTGAATTGCGTGAAAAACGTATATTCTAGTGAGATGAAGTAAATATAATGTCGTCAAGGAATAGCAAATTGACAGTTAGACTAGAAAAAAACTTCCTGTTTCCCGTAAATATTGGTTTGAAGATTAACGTGACAACTGCCATTCACAACAGTAGATTACATTAAACGTTGGATTTAGTAAGAGTACCTTTAAGTGGACAATTTTCATTGGTGTATTTAGAAAAATATGAATTATTTCGAGAGTATTGATCATCTAAGTACTAGTATTTGTAAGTGTTGTTGAACTTTTTTTTATCCGATGGTGTTTCCGTTTGAGTGTTTAAGAAGTTAAGCTATAAAATTCATTTCCTAGCAGTGAACATAAAGAAATTAATAACTCACTTGGAATCCGTTTGTGTTTCTTACATCAATGGGTGATCGTCCATTGTCGTATTCTATAGTAAGAGTATTGCTATCACGATGCAAGGTATATGATGAAGGATAAGGCCCCTGATAATCAATTCCACTTTTTTTATAAGCAACTGCTAAAGCTCCTAAAACTAAACGAGCTGCTACATCATGCTTCAGACGAGGGTGAATGCTGTGAAAAATTAAACTAATGTAAATCATTCAAATACTTAATGGCGTGAAATTGTAAACAAAAAAGTGCATATAGACATTGTTTCCAGTGTATACTTATCTTCCAGGTAATGATTCAATATATCCAATATTAACGGCTGTTACTGTATTGACCATGGTAAAGATTCGAAATTGGCTCAGCTCAGCCCAAGCTGATCCAGAATATATACAAGGGTAAATACAGAATCAGCGAGCTCATAGCAGCTTTATTGCACGATTATAAGTATACTTAGAAACTTACAGTTAAGCAGGTAACCGAAATCATTGGACCGGTCCAATACGGTTTATTTTCCTGTATTTGCCTGTGGTTCGAAAAACTGTATTTATCTATCAACAGTTCAACTTCAGCAGTACTGCATATGCTGATGTAACCACATACAGGTCGATTTCATCATATCACTTCATAAACTAAGTTTTCAACCACGGATACTCAGAGAGAATCAAACAATTAGTTGTAAGAATAAAAAAATATCACATTTGGAGAAAGGTAACCTGTGACGGGTGTTCAAACAAGGATATACAGATCGGATAAGAATACTTACTGTCCACGTGGTGATGCATAATCTGGGAGGTCTAATGCAACGGCCATAAATACATTCTTTAATCGATTGTTTGGAACTTTTCCATGATTTGCTGTCTGTGCCCAGCGCACTAGTGGAAAGCTACCTATTGCAGACGTATTTCTATTCGGTGCTAACTGAAAAAAATATAATCACAAATAGAATAACAGATATAGATTACTTACGCCTTATATCATGCATATTTCATAAACGAGATCATTGTCATGCGTCATTGTTTTGATCGGATATTTAAAATTTTACTTTTGCTTGAAATAATGCATGTCAGTTTAACTGACCAGGTGACAGTGCAATAACAAAATATACACCGGTAAGTACTCATTTGATCAGATGATAAACACAAAGATTTTGTAATTCTCAGAAAAAGTATAAAATGACAATACACTGTGGCCATACTTCATCGTAGTCATTAAAAATGGGAATTTTTATTTCTACCTTACTCTGATAAATTGTCTTTAAGAATAGTCGATACTGAACTAACCTTAATCTGAAAGTTGTCAGCCTTAGCAGTTAATTATTTAAGCTGCTCAACAAATACAAATGGCTATAATAGTCTATCATAATCGTAAATCATGTCTAGTCAACAATATGATTTCGGCTTCCCAATTGTGAACTTTCCATTTTTATGTAGCAAATTTCCAGCAACGCCTGCATACGGTTGATACGATATTCTAAGGCTTGTATTTCCTATCATGATTTCCTTGATAGAGGGTTGCTGCTGACAAAGAAGCTATTAAACCAAGAGTTCCAAGTGGTGAAGTTGAAATAATCACTTCGTAAATTTTACTGACGCCATCACGAGTTGGTTGACCATTATGGAATATTCGTTTCATAGACGACAGTGGATATATTCTAATTGTCGTTACTACAATCCCGTCCCTTTTTCCCGAATGTGACCTTCCGAATTAGACTTATTACCGGGTTTGTACTAACATGAGCAACACGACGGGTGCCACATGTGGATCAGGATCTGCTTACCCTTCCGGAGCACCTGAGATCACACCCAGTTTTTGGTTGGGTTCGTGTTGCTCAGTTTTTATTTAGTTTTCTATGTTGTGTTTTGTGTACTGTTGTTTGTCTGTTGGTCTTTTCCTTTTTTTTTTAGTCATGGCGTCGTCAGTTTTATTTTCTATACTTCTGAGTTTGAATGTCCCTATGGTTTATACAAAGGAGGCTTATTTTTGTTTGAAAATATTATTTGGTTGATTATTTTTACTTTCTTATTGTTGTAAGGAGAAACGTTATTAAACAAATAGTTGATTTAAGTGTTAATTTCCCAATTTTGTTTCAGGACTTGGTAAACATATAGAGTCAAGTGTCTGTGTAAAATAAACAGACTAATTTGTTTAGTTTGTCTTGTCGATCTATCCCCTCTTACCTGCCCAACCGCGTTGAAAATTTGATGAGTAATTATTTGATTCCAAAATGTAACGTATATGAATTTCCATTATCAACTGTTTTGTTTATAAAATATTAAATAAAAGTTAAATAAAACATATTAAATATTAAAATGTTAAACACAATATTCTAAAACAACCTAAATTTGGATGACATTTTCTATTGCATATTTGTCCTGGTTTTCTACATTCACATATGTTCGATCCAAATCACATTTAAAAAAATCTTGTTCTTTATATTTAATCTGATTTTATCGCACGTCGAAGAGAAATAAAGTTGTCGGTCGAAACACTCGAAGGAATCAGACTCCACGAAATGAGTCTTCTTAAAGCGATCAGAGCAAAATTCCAATTTAGAAGCCTGACGATATCCTTTTTAGCCCGTGAAAGACGATTTTTGACTAATTTTGTGGTTTTGCGGAAACGACAGTAGATAGAGAGAAATTGAAGAAAACAAAAAATATCACCATGAACGAAATCGGAAGTCGACTTCACGATCAACATGTGGAATCGGTTTCTAAACAAACATTTACATTTAGAACATGAATGTTCAATTGACGCTGGTTTTTATCAAACAATACAATTATCACTATCCTATCAATGGAAATGTTGGTACTATCAAATTCAATTTTAATTACGTATAGGTTTTTGAGTTTATATGGTTCAACACAGATAAATAACTTATCCCTGGAAAAACCTGTTCACTTTTAAAGATTTGCCAAGTGCCTGGATATGAATGTTAAACTATTCAGTTTTAAAACTTTAAAAGCATGAAAATACAGATTTATGTTTTCTAAATTTGATTTGTATTTATCAACAAAATGATTTGTTTTATTGATAATCATATCGGGGAATTTGTAAAATAATTATTAAAATGTTCATGCAGAGATTATGTAACTTCACTGGTAATTTTCGGGGAATATACCGGTAGTGATTATACATAATCCCTGAAAAATTTGGGATTCTACATTGTGATTAGACAAATTCGCCGTAACATATATTATGGGTGTATATATTATAATTTTATGATTTTAAATTTTACAATGGTCTTTCATAGCTTTATCAGGTAAAAGATTACGTTCTGTTAAGTACTTACACCACAATTGATTGCTAGAAAATGTATACTAGGTATATATAACCACAAATAATTATGAATTAATGTAAGATAGGACACCAATTTTACTACGCCAGATGCGTATTTCAACAATGATGGCTCATAAGTTATATTTAAGGCCAGCATATTTGAAATCATTAAAGAAATTATTTAACCAAAAAGGGACCAAAAGTATAGCAAACCCGGAAAATTATTCAGAGCTATGCACGAAGGAAAACATTTTTAAATTTCAAGGCAAATCATTCCGTAAATATTTTTTTTTTCACCGCAAATTTTATGAAAACAATATCCGTGTTTTCATGCAATTACTTCGATACAGAGTTACTGGGCTTGTGAATATTCTAACCTGAACAAATCCGAATGGAAACATGGCATCAACCGTCTGTAGAGAAGCAGAATGGAACTTAGAGCGCCAATCGTCTATCATTGCTGGAAATCTGCATGAGTAATCAAACGCATTTCTTGAGTTGGCTTCTCCTACAGTAAGAAAGCATATGTTATGCTCCATGAATATGGAGTAAGGAATACATTTGTATAACATGAAAATCCCCTAAAATACAGGGAAACAGCTACATTGTAGCGATATATATGAGAAAAGAAGATATGATGTATATGTTAAAGAGAAGCAAACTATCGACAGATTTAACCCACACATATCTAGAGGACAACATTGACTTTTATAATTTCTGTTTTTAATATGAAATGAAATTAAACAGTATGGCCTTCAGTGATAAAAGTGATAAACATGATTGCAAGCAAAACATGGACACCAGGTCCGCATTTAATCACATCGGGATTTTTAAGCATTCTATTCATTTTGCTGAATTGTTTCCAAATTTCATCATCTACTGTAATTGTAAATTTCGTTCCACCCGGTTTTTATTATCAGTTTGTAACATATCACGGTAGGTATAGTGTCCGGCTGAGATCGTGTTTTTTTCGAGTGAATCGGTCCACTTTTTAGTGTAGATCAGGTTTTTTCGAGTGATATGACATGCGATCAGATCGATTTACTGCTATTTCGCGAATACAATAGTTGTATTCGTGACTGTTTATCTTATTCTGAATGCTATACATGTTTTGAGCACAAATGGCGCACAATTTTCGTGTAGTTCACTCACAATTCAGTGTTTTATATTGTCTGTGTTTTTTCGAGAGCAACATCTAAAACGCACGGGTTTTTCAACAAATGGTCCGGGTTTTTTGAAGAAAATATGAATAAGAAAGAAGACAATATTGGGCTTAAAAACTGTTATTTAGCGAAGGACAATATTATTTATTCTTAATAAGTCACAAAAACATATTACTATGTTGATCAAATTTAACCCTTTTCAATTTAATGATAACTTTCTGTTCTGAAAACATAAGTCACCATCACCTTGTAGTATTAGGATATATATAAGAAATCACTGGGTCCTTTTTAAAACGGTCTTTAGAACCGAGGAGAGGGACTCATAATTTTTTTCAATTTCATTTCATGCTGCCTTTTTTTACCGTCAATATTATTTTATGATATATAATTCGTCTAAATAACAGCCCAACAATTATGTTAGATCTGTAAATTTTCCGCAAATTTTTTGTTCTTCCCTGGCCGGGATTCGAACTCATGCTACTGAGATATCTTGGTACCAAATCGCCTTGCACTATGTCCGACGCGCTAGACCACTCGACCACCTAGGCTCGACAAAAATCAAGCTTTCGGTGGCCGGGTGTTACCTTTCCTCGTCAGTTTTTATCTAGCGTCGTAACACAGTACATGATATATAAGACATGAAGATGGAATATTACAGATCAGCTGAATTATCTATCGTAGAGGATCTTATAAATTAATGTAGGATGCAGTCACAGAAATAATTATATTATAAGTACGTCTGAACCAGTGACAACTCTACGACAGATTTTATCCATCGGATCACCAGTGATGGTGATACAAGGCTGAAAACACATTCTGTATACATAATTCGTCTAAATAACAGCCCAACAATGTTAGATCTGTAAATTTGCGGAAGCATTATAGTGACGAAAAAACATAGGAGCAAGAAAACTAAGGAAAAGCAGTAAAAAAATCAGAAAAATTCAATATAAACCCAAATCTTCTACTAAAAGAGCACCCCCCCCCCCCCCACACACACAAAGAAATTGCATTACAATAACATTTGAATTGAATTGAATATCTTATAAAAAATGAAAACAACACTTTATAAATTTCATGCGTCCAAAGCGCTTTTCTGGATTTGCTTTCGTCCAGAACGCTCAAAGTCGAATATTTGAAAGCCAAGGATGTATAAGAACCGAAACATGTGAAGAGCTTTATGACCAAGGACCTTAAAAATAGCCAAATCCATCCAAGGTCAACTTTGCCTGATGGAGCTGAAACCTTAGTTTGTTAATAATTTTTAAAATTATAAACGGACGTCCAATGGCAAATATTTCATGCATGTTCAAGACGAGAACCAATTAACAATAAATCCAATGTATAGGTCTGAGGACGTTCGGGATGAAGGTCGGGAAATTTAGGCTGCCACTGAAAATTAGGGTATATTGGACAGAAATTATGCCTTGCAACAGGCCACCTACGCACCCCTCAAAGAGCTGTTGCAAGGGTTCTTGACGTGCAGTGAGCGTTGCAATATCTACACGCCCCATTCTGACCGGACGTGGCTACGCATTTGAACATCCCGCACAGCCAAACGGACGCCCCACTTTGGCAACAATTTTACTGCTGGTCGGAAGAGGACCTAAGTGACCATATTTCTATTCACCAGTCCCCCTTGGAGGTAAACAATTTTTAGAAAGGTTTGATATAAATCATGTCTGTACCGAAGTACTGACTACTGAGCTGATGATAAACTCGGAACTTATCCAATATATTTGATAACAAACGAAAAGAATAATCTCTAAGCTTTGACAGATCTTTTTGAAATATTAAAAAAAACGAAATGTGCATATAACAATCCATGCGTTAACCTCACAAACATAATTCTTTAAATTTAGTGGAAATGAAGCTTTGATAGTGCTTTATTTCTATATATGTGACGACGTATAGCATATGCTTGATCAGACTCCTTTTCACAGTAGGAGCATTTGAATATTGTTCTTAATTTCCATTTCTAGAACGATAAAAAGTATATTATCATCAAGACAACCAGTAAATGAAACATTTAGGATGTATTTTCTGTAAAAAAACACACATTCACCCGCCTTACGCACTTTGTGCACGTACGTCTCAATAGAGATTTCCAATAAAATGACATTACTCGACTTAACCGACCTATCTCACCGTGTCTCGGCCTGTTGCAGTGAAGGACGACGGAGGGGAGCATAGACTACACGAATGGTCGGCTCGTTGAATACACATACTTTGTTGGAATAAATGTTATTTAAAAATTAGCACAAACTACTATTTTAATTCTTTACATATTTTGTTTTTAAATTTCGGGTGATTTCATTGACAACAACCTTAAAGGGAATAATTAGTTCAGCTACCGGTAATCAAATACACCGATCATTACTTTGTCATTTCACTTGACCCATATATTTTTCTCTCAAACGACGAATTCTTAAAGCTCATAAATCAAAATTAAGTTTGAACAAATAAAAATAATGGAATATGAAGCGTGATCATATTCTCATTTTTAAGTAATAAGATTAAAACAAGAGTTTCAAACACGCCGGAATGTAAAAGGTGTACACGACTTGACTCTACTTCTTTTTTAGCATACTTCTATAATTTATTTCAAGATACTTTGGTCGAAGGTAAAAATTCAGATCACTAATGCATCTTTCTGATAGTACTGTGTCACCTTTCCGTATTATTTTATCAAATGGAATTTATGAGGACGCATCTGCAGGAAAAAATATGATTACACTTTACTGAATCAGTTAATTTGTTTATATCTTGTCTTTAATTATTATGATCCATGGTCCTAGGAAGAGCCCGTACAAACGTAGGTGTAATTTAACGTCAATGTTCTTAAACTGTTTTTTCTAAAATATTTGGCGTTTAATTATACAAGTACGTATGAAAAACGGACATGTACGGACTTTTTAATTGAATTTTTGTTAAGTAAGACGATCTTTTTTAGTTTTATGACCAACTTATGAAAGCATGGGAATATTATATTTACTGGTCTGTGCATCCTTCCGTTCTTCGTTCTGTTCAAAATATAAAACCTTTAAAATTATATACCAACTATAAGTTTGAACCAGATTAAGTGGTGCACTGAACATGGAAATATTATCATGTGAAGGGGCACGGTGTCTTAAGGCCACACATTCTTGTTGCAAATGTTCTGATGAATAAACGTTCATGTAATATATATCTTCCAGACTCATAACTGTCTCTTTGGTCGCGCGCTCGTCTCGACAGTAACCTCTCAAAGTTGATCAAGGGAATAGAAATATGGTCACTATTGGTCTTGTTCAGTTAAACCATTGCTAAAGTGGAGAGTCCGTTTAGATGAGCGGGATGTACAAGTACGCAATCCCGTCCGTTCAGAGTGGGGACGTTAAATCCGATGCATCTTTTAGATACAATGTCACGCTCTCTACATGTTAATTATGCATGAAATATTTGCCACTGGACGTTAAGCAACCAACTGTCAATCAATCGACAGTAGCGTAATTTTAATTTTATTTCTGGTGAGGCAAATGATTTGAATCTTGGAAGTTAAAGTCTGACCTTGGTTTAAAGACGTCAATGCCAGTAGGGAGTGAACGGTTAATTGAAAAAAAATTAATCGCAAAAAAGGTGTAGGTGATCATACTCTTGATAGGTAACACAATGGTAAAAAGATACTGTCTATGAAAAATCCAGATTTGTGAAATTCTATTATGAAATAATATTTCTAGTGCGCATTTAATCAATAGGTTTTAATGAAACTTCTGGTTAAAGGCTTAATTCTCGGTATTCGGTTAGGTGTTAGAATTCAGATAGGTTCCTGATAAAAAAAAATGACAGAATTATATGTATGACCTCTCCTAAAATGCTTTGGTACAGATTTGGGGAAACTAAGTTTAAGATCCACTATGTCTCTTAACTTATATGTTTAGCTTTTGTCAACATGTATGGATGATAATAACTGGGAGAACTATTAAGTCTTGCTTATATTAAACAAGGTAGAAGAGTACTACATAAAATGTAGGAATGCCAAGTGTCTGTTGAAAACTTTGCCCACCAAAAGTAATAAGTTCGTTGTCAAAAAAAAAAACCAAGCATCATATCAGTTTCACGGGTATGACCTCTTGTTGGGATCAGTTTTTTGCGAGTTATACTTTGTATGTTACTTAAAAAAGATATTTGTATCTACCTTGTTCATTTTAAATTGCATCTTGGATCCGCATCTGGCAACACAATCTTATTATATTATGTTGTTCAATGTTACTTACCTTACACATTTACGTTAATGATTTACTCATTAAAATGAATTCGGTGACCCCCTTTTAGTTGTTTATCAATAAAATGGATAAAATACTCTAAGTTAGTTCACTTCGACAAGGGATATCAAATATATTCCCTGGAAATATCTTTTGTATTTGGACTCCGATAGCATTCCCGTTAAACAAATTAATACAGAACAATCCTTAATCGAACACACCTTAATTCTAATAAAAAAAACATATATAGGGATTTCTTTATCAATACATTTTATAATAAATGAAAAATACTTTTGTTTATAAATTAAATGGAAGCGATAGTTTTATCTGAATTTTTAACCTTTATAAAGAGACAGATTCTGACAAATTCTGCTTTCGATATTTCTGAAATTGTCAGAAACATATCCTTCGAGATATTTTCCCCGCAACAATTATAATAATAAGATAGATAAACTATAAGGAAAGACAGAAAAAAGTATAATGGGGCGTTCAACTGCAAAGTATATTGAAAAATAATTGTCATAATCAAAACCATGAAAGATAACTCGAATCGTACATATGATAGGTATGCATGGATACGTGTGTTAATACGTGATCTTATGTCAGTAAAATAAAGGCGGGAATCTGGAAAACCACGTGATAAATGAAAATGCAATATTTCTATCAGTTGTCGTCATGATATTTTTGTTTATATGGTCGAAAATTTCAGTGTGTGATTTTGAAAGTCTTGGAATACTTTGTTTAAACTTAAGCGACGTATTTAATCAAATTCGATGGTTGGCAATAACCCGTCCCATTAGTTACGTACGTATGTCATTTTATTGGAAATCTCTAATCCAACATGTCTGACTTCACATAAAGATTGTTTACGTCACGAAATATTAACTGTATGAAATCCATATCGGTACACTTGCATGAAGATAATATTATCTGAATACAAATGAACGATGCCTTTTTATGAAATGGTAAATATACAGCGGTATGCAACCGACCGTGCAAGACCCTCATGGGTAGTCAAGGTCGTTAAAATACCCCGTCGTCGTCGTTGTTTCGTTCTTTGAAAAGTACTTTATTTGAACTTTTTCATTGTTTTTTAAACGTAAATGCACTGACCTATTACATTTTAAGCCATAGGAATTTTGGTTTTTCACTCGAAAAAACACGGACTGCTCTCGAAAAAACACGGACATATAAAAATAAATTTACCCTCCAAAATGTACTTTTCAATGCAAAAACAAGAATTTTTGTATAGTGTCTGTATATCTATCTTAGATTATGCAGATTCCATGTAAGCATTTCCGTTGACATTTGCATTGGTATGTTTATACAATGGCTTTAATCTATATTTAAATTAAATTAAATTAAACGCTATTAAAACAAGATAATGTAGGGTTGATAATGATTTTATCACAAATACTAAATAACCTTCTATGATATTAAATTTCTGTCATCTTTTTTTTATGTCTTACCAGAAAAAGAAGTCGGTTAGTTTACATTTTTGATCATATTCACTCGCAAAAACGTGGTAACAACTCGAAAAATAAAACCCGATAAAATCCGGACACTATACCTACCTACCGTGCATATGTTTCGTTCCACCCTTATTTATTATCAGTTTGTAGCAAATGTTTCGTTCCATCTTCTTTTTATTATCAGTTTGTAACATCTAAAATATCCTGTTTCTACGTTTGAAAAATAGGGTCAAAATCGCAAATTCGCTTCCTTTTTAGGAAAAAAAACCAGCCTGGTGACCCCCTTTTTCTTTGCATTTTTGGATTCAGCATAAACAGATCTACAAAATATGTGAAAATAAAAAAATTCTACCGGGGATCCTTATTATCTGTTTTTAATGTTTCTTTGATTCGAAAATGCTTTTAAATGTTGTAATGTTTCCAGAAAATGACTTGTTACGTATGTCAAATAGTGCCGGATATTCTGTTTTAAGTACAAAGATAATAATTGAAAATATTTGGATTTTTTTTTTATATATAACGATACCTACTGTACACCTTTTATGTAAGAACATAAACGAGCGATCGACTGAGTTGCATACGATGAAAAGTGATGTCTTTTTTTTTTTTTTAAAGTTGTCGTATTAAAATCATTAAAAGAAAGTTCTCAATATTGTTTAATGTTTAGAATTTTACAATTTGCTGAGCAAAATTGCAAGAAAAATGTTGGTAAAAACTACTACAGTTAAAAGTAAATATCAAACATAACATATATAATGTACGTTTTCAACTTACTTCGTTCAGGTTTTTTTTAAATAACAAAATACGATTTTATTTTTATACCTTGATACCAAAGTGCTCCATATATTGTAGATTTTAGGAAAGGGTGGATCATCCCATTCCATAACACGTTATTAGAATGTTGATTAACTGGCGATCTGGAAAACAATTATTTATAGACATACATTATGTGCATGAATATGAAGAAAAAAAAAATCACTATAAAATTCTGAAGATGATTACCCTTAAAAATTTAAAATTGCTATTTTTTTTTAATCTCGAAAAAGAAACGAGTGGCCATTAAATACTAATTGGTACATAGTTTGGATGTATATAGGCTGTAATTGTTACCTCCCTGAATTAGTACTAGCTATGTCTGATGTTTTAAAATATTTTCCCGTTTATGTTCTTTTGCTCGCTTCAAAGATGACTGGTTGAGTTTTTGTATCTGCATGAAAACTGCCTTCATATAAATCACTTGGATTTTGAACTCAGTATATATTTTATATTCTACAGGATTTTCTAAATTTTAAGATTTTATTTAAGAAACCCAGGCACACAAGTCCGCAACATTGGTATAAAAAAACAAAGTATAACGTAATGCAATATAAAAAAGCAGTATTATCCGTAATAAATAGTATACTTAAGTTAGCATTCTTACTCTACAATCAATAATCTAGACGTTTACAAAAATGCATTAGCCACGTAAAAATTATATATTCTTACGGACTTAGGTGGCGTTGTGTTGAATTGCATTTCTGAAGAGCATCTGGTGACGACCATGCTTCTACCGGAGTACCTCCCCAATCTGACTCTACTAATCCAATAGGATAACTTACATGAGATGATAAATATTTTCCAAATAGCCAACAAACAGCTGAGAAATATTTGACAGAAGCTGAAATTAATAACACTTTGAACTTGGAAATTTGTAGGATTAGTCATTAAGCATTGAACTTGCATTAAAATGGTATTCACAGTATCCTTGCGACCCGAGGAAACACAGTTTATATGGTGAGCAGGATTCCCGAAAAGCGTGTCCGACGTAAAAAGTATAACTAAAATATCAGTACTTATTACTTACAAATAGAACAAAGGCACACGACAGGGTAAAATTTACAGACTACCCAATGGTCCCATGTGTAAAATATATGAAACTAAAATTCATGTTTTTTCCATGTTACGTGATGACGTCCCAAAGAATGGACTTCGTAACTTTAGAAATATACTAACATATTCATTTTAGTGTTAACGAAATTCTATTCAATGAAATTGGTTTTCTCCAAAAATTGGATGAAGATATATAGGAGAGAAAAAATACCGGGTACAATCTGGAACTTTTAAGTATCTGTGATAATTGACAAAAAAAAAAGAGAAGGGAATGAAAAAAAAAAGATTTTTCGATAACAAAGTGCACTGAAACATGTAATTTTTTTGTCGAAATTAATTTAAAAGGATCTGTGTGAAAACTGTCAGAATTAATAAATCATAACAATACGAATATAAAAGTATATGCTATTCTGCACGTGCTTGTGATTAATTTGAAGTTGAGGGGTGAGTATAACATGCTTATAGATGCCAAGTACAAAGTGAAAAGATAAAAATAATTGTAAATGGAAAATATGTAGATAATTTAGGTAAGAGATCGAAAAGTAAAATAGTCATAGCTGCTTACCTTCATGTCGTATCAGTCATATAAAAAAGATGAAGAAGATGCGAGAAGGGAACACATTGGTCATACAAAGAACAAAGCAAACGAAAATATGACATAAGCCCCCTAGGTTGGGGGTTTTAATCAATACAAGCTTTGCGTTATTCTACTACGCACTCATCTTATGAAACCAAGAAATAAATGTCAACTGGCTGTGAATTATGAAAGGCAAAGGGGTCAAAATTCTCACATTGTAATTCTGGATTAAAAATTTTGTAACAATGTACATGTAACTCTGTAATTAAACGTTCTAAAATTGTAATTCTTACTTTGCAACACTGCAACTCTATTATTGTAAGTTCTAGTTTGATGTTGGTGTATTTGTGGTATGTACATTTGGAATTTGTGATGTGAACATTTGTAATATTGACATTAGCAACATGATAATTAGTATCATGCATTTCTGTTATTTGAAAATGATTCTTGTAAACTTGCTGACGTACATCGTTTAGATTTAAGGTAAAAAAAAAAAGATGAATATCTTATAAAAAAAAAAAAATGAAAAAAAAATTAAACATTGTTTTCGTGCCAAAACTCGGACCTGAACAGGGAAATGAAAAGACCGGAACTTAATTGAAATCATACGGACAGATTTATTCAAATTTCAATAACGTTTTTATCATTTTTTCAGTGGATTTTCTTCAAGTTTGAATTTCAGTAAAAGCTAAACATTATGCTAAGCAAAAAGTCCAAAACCGGCTTATAGTATGGTGATGTCGGGCAAGCGTGATGTTGGGAAAAGTTTCAAATATTAAAATGTTCATTATAGAGCATTCTCCATTATTTAAGAAACATTCTGTGAAATCCGACCAATTGTTTCTTTGATCTATTTTTTTTCTAGGTGACAAAAGTCGGACCTGACAGAAAACAGATATGCAAAATACAAATTCTTATGTTACAAATTTCAAATTACAAATGTACATATCACAAAATTACCATGTAGCATGTATGGAACATCAAAATTAGAATTTAGTATGACAGAGTTAGAGAGTTACAATTCTCAGACGTTTAATTACCGAGTTGTACTTATTACAAATTAAGGGAAACAACTCCTAGGTAAAGACACACTGTATCCTTGTACATTCAAAGCAGATTGAAAAAGATGGTCTTTTGTGAGGAAGTGAACTACATTTTTGATTTCATACATTTACGATAAAAATGGTTTTGTAAAAAAATGGCAACGGGACAGTTTACAATCTTTAAAATATACCCTTTTGATAAGGTTGATTAGTCAGGAAGCTCCGTCTGTCATATCCAGGAGTTATTTTCATTTGAAAACATTTCTAAAATTAGAAACAGGACAGTGTTATTTTCCAATTGTCTTTATTTGAATAATGCTTTTAACAATTGACCATTATCAATAAAATTCATGTTGAACGTATAAAAAGTTGTATATTTACCTGCTGTTGGCAATAGCCATTGTTCTCCTATGCTTGTCCTGGTAAATTCTGTGAGCGGAGTTGTTGACAAATGTGGTTTAGCTTTAAATAATCTAATATCCTGGTGACTTGAAGTGTCGCTGACCTCATCTGTTGCATTAGCGAGCTGCATAAAAAATTAAAATTAAAACAATTCTTCCTGAAAGTACTTGTAATTGTGTTTTTTTTAAACATTTAAGTAAAAGAAAAATACTATATTGGGCGTTTTTCAAAAAAATATCCACTTTTTTCTGTCCAGGGCTTAAATTGTAATAAAATCATATAAATTTTATTTTTTTTTTGGTCTCAGTCTTTAAATTGTACATATTAAAGACAACGGCAACCCTTTTTGTCTGCTTTGTTGTAAGGACTCTATGAATAACATTAACGGTACCAATTTTTCTGCACCAGATGCACATTCGACAATGAATGTCTCTTCAGTGATGCTCGAAAATATGCGACCAAAGGGCTCAAAAACAGCAAAAACGCTCTGTCCACATTTGAAAGTTAATTTAAATTTTCATAATTTACAAAAATTCTTCAAATATTTAGATAAGTTCAAATAGATTTGTGCTAGTAACTTTAAAAAAAAATGCCCACTTCGCAACAACAACAAACAATTGGCAAAATGATAATCATTCTCTTATTGAAATTGTAGTCTTTCCTTTTACCTGCCACTACTACAACTTCACTTAGTAAAATGGCGGTCATCTATGGATGCTGATGATATAGTTCGTCTGCATTGAATCAATTTGTAAGTCCTATTGTAAGTCCTATTGATAGCGTACTTTTTTTACTTATTCACTTTGCAACGTTTTTTTTTTAAAGAAATGTATGACCTCAAATCATAAAATACGTGGAGCTTATGAAATAAAATGTATTGTCGAAGACGATGATCATAAAAACATGTATCTGAGGAAACGTGATACGAAAAACGAAAACGTTGCGTAGTGGACCGTTGGGTAGTCGACGTATTTACATGTTAGCAGCCATTTTTGTTACACGCGGTTTCTCAGATACATGTTTTTATGATTATTGTTTAAAACAATACATTTTAGTTCATATAGACACCACGTTTTTTTATGATTTAAGGTCACCATTTATTAAAAAAAAAATACGTAGTGGACAAAGAATGTTTCGTAGGGGACATATATCGTAACACAGTGGACATTTGTAAATATTTCTAGTAGTTAAAGTTGCAAATCAAATAGTTACACCGTATAAAATCATTTATTTTGTCAAATTCTTGAAGGAAAAATATCTTCAAATTCTAATTTTTTTAGCATGGTATAGAACCATAAAAAATCGTTCCAAAGGGGACTCCTTGGTACACCATGTTCACTTTTACAGAGTTGTTGTCAAGCTTACCGTTCAGTTTAAGGTTGCATATTTTGTATATAGCTTAAACTGAGTTTAAAGTAATCACATGTACAATTAAATCACTTATTTCTCAACATTATATTTTTTGATTTGCCAGTTGTCAAAAATGGACATTTTTTGAATAAGGCCCATATAACTTTTTGATATCAGTGATTGGTTGCTATCTCATTGACCCAACATCTTCTTTTATCTATTCGATCATAAACTATCAATTGGCAAACATTTATCAAAATCGCATTCCTGAGTTCACAAAAAGTGTTTGGTTAGATTCGTGTTGCGCAATTAAAAGTCTTCTGTCAGGTTTTGAACATTTTATTTTGTATCTTTATCTTTTCAAAGAAATTCGCCAATATCTGTTAGTGACATATAGTTATTTACATATATACATTCATCCTTGTCCTTTGGTCTCTGGTGGATAATTGTCTCATTGTTAATCATACCTCCTTATTTTTATATTGTGAATGCTCAACCCTCCCCTAGCCCTTGAAATTGACGTAACATCACAAAAACGACACAACGTTCCAATATGAGAATATTTGCCTTTGTTAAGAGAGTGTTTGTTTTAAGACAGAATTTCTTATGATAATACGACTTTTAAACAATCATCAGATATTCTTCTTTGATAAATTCTCTTTGTAATGAGTTAAGATCAGAGCGTATTAAATCGATAAAAAATGTGTCAGAATCACTGAAATCGAGGAGTTTTTCTAGTAGCTAGAGGAAAATGCTACTGTCTTGAAGCTAGTCATTCGATGCAATATATATCGTTTATCTCTATTTGGTGCTTTACCCTACATAAGGGTAAATATTCGAACCTCTACTTAATTTAATAATAAGTCGGGATTAGAGTGTGGGTAATCAAAATAAATCCGGAAAAAATATCTGCGTTTTGGGTGCTTTTCCAGATTCTGGAACACACCGCCACTACTTCGTAGATAATCTTTGCTGCATATCTTGCATTTAAGAAGATCGTGTTTCTAATCAAATATCACAACGCAATTGAAATGCCTTTTTTTCAAATGTGCATATCATAACATTGACTTCGTTTACCTGGCCGACAATAAAAGCCATATTACTTTGTCCTGAGCACAACCAGACATCTCCGAACCATACATCTTTCAGAGTTATATTTCCAAGTGAGGATGAAGCAGTCAGTTTGTAACCATGGTTTCCCCCAGGGTTATGTACAACACCTTGCCAAATTCCATGAGGATCAACTGTTATACTTCCACTATGTTGGTCGTCTAGATACAAATCAATTTTATCACCATGTTTCGGAGAATGTCCCCATACAGATGCACCACGGGATCCTCTTTGAAGTACCATATGGTTGGCGTAAAATGACGAAAACGAAAAAGTGACTGCCCTTTCTGAAATTAATGTTATAATCACCTTCAGCAGAATAAAAAAATATAATAAAAAAGTTCTCTCTAACGCCTCCCAAATATTTGACTATTTGATAATACAGTTACATACGAATTTCAAATACTAGTAAAAGGGACATGAAGAAGTATCAATCTTTGTACACCCCTCATACAGGAAATCGTGTAAGAGACCCATTTGGGTATTTTTCAAATTAGTTGTATTACAATTTATTTCAGGTTCAAACAATTTTTGGTTTTAGACATTTTTTTTTTCATCTTTTATATAAAATGTTCCTACAGAAATTTAAAAAAATCAATATTAAACAGTTTACATCAAACATAAGACGCAAGTGATCAGAATGCTTGAGAGGAGGTAACATTTTAACTATTTTTGAAAAATAGGAGTAAAGTCGTTTCAAATGAAGCAACAATACACACCATAAAATATATCTATTAAGTTACATGAATTCATTGTTGATTGTTTAAAATTTTTGGTATTGTTTCTCACAATCGGTAATGTATGACGCTTATCGATATTTGTCAAATTTCTTTTTTTCCAGATATAATATACAGTTTGTTGATATTGCCCATCAGCTGTGTTCTTTAATGAACAGGTGTGGCGTGATCGATATCTAGCAAAGTGTTACGCTCAAACCGGTGCTAGTTGTAGTCTTGAAGTGTGGCGAGAGTGTTTGTTTCATGTTGCTGACGTTCCTGCGTTGTTCCTTTACTATAGACAATTTATGTACGCGTAAAATTTTGTGTCGTGAATTAATAAACCATATCCTTTTTTTTCCATTATTGAACATTGAATGGATGATGATTAAAATGAATAAAATGGAATAAGATTGACACAAAGGACAAACACATGTTGACTGCCAAATAAAATGCCTTAGATTTTAATCTTAGATAGGCATCATTTACTAAATCATTAATAAGCTGAAGGTGCAATAGGACAGAATGCAAATATCGTATTCAGGATATAGAAAATAGCGTGTTTTTTATATAAATAATCACTGGTTTATACGCTAGAATGAATTTTTGATACGCTAGCTCACAAATAGCATGCCATAGTCCACAGACACAATATCGAACAAATTACTTTCCGAACATACCCGCCTCTTACTCCTAAATGATGAGTCCCTATCGGAGGAGGTAGTCTTTAAATAGATCCTTGCAGGTTGTCGAACACTCGACCGCATGCAATCAAAATAATTATACATCTTTACTTACAAAATTTGAAATACACGGTATGACTTAATCAACAGCCTCGTTAGTTGAGTGTCCTTCTAGTTTATATAAAAAAAGTACTTACTTTCATATCCACTGGTTAAGTTTAAGACCGTAATGATAGCAAAGAAGATGAACCACTTCATAGTTTCTTTCTATCTAACCACGACTGGCTATACTGTAATAGACCAATTTTGTAACCTCTAGAAATTATCAAGATAAGAAACTGTTATCACAAGGTAACAGTACATATGTCCTTTTTCAGGGTTTTGTGAACACTTTGTCAATACTCTGCTATCGATTTCGGTTTTTTCGGTGTTTTGATGCTTCTTCTTCTCCTTTGCAGCTGACATAATTTCTGTAATGACTCCTTCTAAATTGTATGCGAGGCTTTAAATTTGCATGTTTCATTTATGTTCTTTCATACACTAAGACATAGACCAAACATGATACCTATCTATGGGACTCTTTTTTCCGTGTGACACTTGAACAATACTAGACATGTATCAAAAATTCAAATTAGATAAATTGAAACAATGCATCAGAAGAGAAGTAAGCAACATTCATTATGAACACTACTATAACCGCCTCCAGAGTCGTATATTTCGGGATATAATCTTTCGAAGGTTATAAAAAAATTAGGAGATGTGGTGTGGTTGCCATGAGACAACCAACCACCATAGTTCAAATGACGTGGATGTAGGCAATTATAGTCTTATAATAGTACATGTGCATTCAGCATGATAGACCGTATATTCTCAAATAAACTGAATCAATGGAATGAAAGCCAAAGAAATTAAGACAATTTAAATTACGACATTCTAGTTTAGTTCTAAATTACGATCCTCTCAGAATCAACATAAAAAAGTAGCAAGGCTTGTCATTGTGGCAGTTAAGCAGAGCTAACTTTCATTTTTTACTTTGAATGCCCATTATTTTGTACAAAGAGAACTTTCACTTACATTTTATTCTTTATGTCTTGTAACTTTATCAAATTGAAACACCAAATAACCGGACTGCTCTATTTCGAAATATTAAAGTGGAGATAAGTCTTATTAAAGGTTTCCCGATGTGCTCCCGTACCAACCGTAGAACGAACTGGAGGCCGTCATTGAACTTTTGAAAATGATTGATGGATACACTTAATGTCAACGTATGTTTTATGAATCATTATCAAAAGTATTTGGAGGATTTTTATATAAAACTGCAACTTGGTATGGATTTCATGTGGATATTTTTCGTATTAATAGCAAACAATATTGTGTGTACTCGATTATGCTTTCAAGCAACTGTTGCAAGTAACCAGTGCACGAACGGTTTGTAATTTAGATTTATGTCTCTTTAAATTGCAAAGGCAAACAGAAACTAAAATATAAAACACATTTATAATCTCTCTGATTTTCGCCTGTTATATTATTTATACATAAAGGCAACAGTAGTATATAAACTCATCATAGATACCAGGATTGAAATTTTATATTTACGCCAGACGCGCGTTTCGTCTACAAAAGACTCATCACTGTTCAATAGTCGTGATTCGATTAAGCAAAAACAAATCCGGGTAACAAACTAAAACCGAGGGAAACATATTAACTATAAGAGGAAAACAACGGAACAACCGAAACACTGAACTACAACAAAAGCAAACGCCAACATACATAGAAACGGACTGTGTGATAACAACTGCCATATTCCTGACTTGGTACAGGACATATATAGAACGAATTGGTTGGAAATTTTTTGGGTAGGCTTTTAGAAAACATGAAAAAAATAAGAGCCATTTTAACATACAAAATTAACCTCATTAATAATGTACTAATCATGAAATAATGCTAAAAATATATTCGGCAGCACGAGATCTAAACATCCGACTGTGCAAGTATCTTAAAAATAATCTCATACATTAAATGATACCTCCAAAACAACACTAACTGTTGAGTTACGTACCAACAGTACCTGATACTTGGCAGATCGGGAAACGTCTATTAGTATATAATTTAATTTTGGATGTAACGCGTCTTCTGATTGGCTGACGTTGTTTTGTTTATCAGCTCATAGACATAATTTTGTAATGTGACTGTGACGTCATCAACGTTTTTTCATGGTTTACTCGTGTTTAAAATGGAATTTAGAATTAAATTATAAGAAATGACTGTAATATTTTTTCTGTCTATTCGAAATAACATAAAAAATGTGGTGCACACTTTAAAATATTATTCAGTTATTCAGTTTGCACCACATTTTTGATGTTATTTCTTCATTGACAGAAAAAATATTACAGTCATTCCTTAAATATCTATCACTTAAGGGCATACGATACAGTAACAGGGGCAGATAATAACGTTTTCAAAACATTTTGTGTTATTCGCGACGTTGTTAATCAGAACGTTGTAATTTCGCGATGTTTCTAATAAGAACAATCACATTTCGCGATGTCGCTTTAAATGTAGTCACATTTGCGGAAAATCTGCTGACGTCATAAATCCGGTTGCGCGAATTTGAAAAAAGTACTTGCTAAGGAAAGCGGCCATACCACGAGAATTGTTATATTTATTCATTAATAATGAAGTAAATAGTATGTATGTGAAGTTAGCAGTCTGTTCGTTATTTAAGAAATAATCCATGGAAGCCATAGATTTTTTGGAAATTTACACATGGCCTGATATTCGAATTTTATCCTGAGCGTTAGCGAGGGATGAAATTAACGAATATCACGACCCAGGCCATGTGTAAATTTACAACAAATCTATGGCTTCCATGAATTATTTCGATTCTAATAGGACAAATACGGTCATTAAAAAACTGAAGCGAGGGTGGGTATGCCGTATGTGTGGCTGTTCTATTTTACCCCCTGTTTGATAAATCTAAAAAAAATCTAATAAATCTGTGGCTTGCATGAATTATTTCTTAAATAACTGCTAGAAAAAATGTGTTTACTTCTTTTAATTCTCAAACACAACATTTGCCATTTTTAATTTAAATTTGTTCTCGTAAGCTACCGCCAAATTCACTGTTGACATTTTGTAACTAAGGAGCCGCCATGTTGACTTGCTGAAATCAGTACATGTGCGAATAATGCAATAGAAAAGAAAAAAACCAACACCTACCTTAAAACTTCATTTTAATGCAATATTATCCGAATTTGGAGGGTTAACGCAACGGAAAAACTTCAGCTTTGGCGTTTTCATTCGTATGACGTCATGTTTTGAAATAACGTTAATGTGCAAAAAACATCAATGGAATTTCGCGGAATTTTACTTTATTTTGATTTTGTACATTTTTCCGAGCTAAATGCATTAATTCTTTATGTTATGCCTCAGAATAAGAAAAAAAGGTTCTGTAGGGGTTTTTTTTCAATTGCAATTTTTAACACAGCGAAATCGGCATAGCGTTTGCACATAGGTTACGATACATGTGGATTTACGTGGGAGGTATATTTTAATAGCCATTATTATGTACATCTCGGAGTCTGCGCTAAGTATAGATATATCGAGAATTTTATCACGGTGTTGTTTACAAAGCGAAAGAAGCACGTCATATAAGAATCGTTATTTGATATTTAATATCCAACAGGCTGCTAGCAGTCGGTCCGATATTCAAATTTCTTAGTTGAAAATAACAGAAATCTAAATATTCGATAACATTTAAAACATGATAGTCATAGATAAAAGGAGTAAAAAGATATGTAGGAAATCGTTTTATGACCCCTTCAAGCTGTCGCAAATTCCCGTTCTCCTCAAATACAAACCCTTATGTAAATCGCACATTTGTCTTTATGAAATATAGATTTTTACCAATCAATTGCAATCAAAGTAGTACTTTTATACATGATATTTCCATAGAAAAAAAAAACCAAACGATTTAAAAATATAAATGGAAATAAGTATGGAAAGCCACAAAAAAAATGTCACTTTTCAGCTAAAAATCGTCATAAATTCAGGTAAAAGGGCATAGTACGATTGCTTGACCCCCTGATTCTCATTTTTCATAAAATTATGCAGATAGTTAGTAAATATAAAGATACAAATGGCACCAAAAGGAATTTTGGTAAACTTCTTGTCTTCTATGTTTACGGGGGGATCAAAATTCAAAATATATAGTGAAAACCTACCGGAGACCGCTTAAATGACCGTGAGACCCTCCTGGTCTTTCAATGTCCATTAAATTAAATGATCGATTACACTATGTATATATACAGATAGTATCAAAAGGATTTCTCCAAACAATGTCATCTCCGGTTTCTACGGAGGGCTTAAAATGTCACTTTTTAGCTAAAAATCGTCGAAAATTCAGGTAAAAGGGCACAGGGCGATGGCTAGACCCCCTGCTCTCTCAATTTTAATAAAATTATGCAGATATTCAGTAAATATAAAGACACAAATGGCACCAAAAGGAATTTGGGTAAACTTCTGGTCTTCTATGTTTACGGAGGGATCAGAATTCAAAATATATAGTGAAAACCTACCGGAGACCGCTTGAATGACCGTGAGACCCTCCTCGTCTTTCAATGTCCATAAAAATAAATGATCTTTTAAACTATGTATTTATACAGATAGTTTCAAAAGGATTTCCAAGAATAAAGTCATCTTCGATATCTACGGAGGTCTTAAATTGTCACTTTTCAGCTAAAAATCGTCAAAAATTCAGGGAAAAGGGCACAGGGCGATTGCTAGACCCCCTGAACTCTCAATTTTCATAAAATTATGCAGATAGTTAGTAAATATAAAGATACAAATGGCACCAAAAGGAATTTGGGTAAACTTCTTGTCTTCTATGTTTACGGAGGGCTCAAAGTGCCAGTTTGATATTCAAAATATATAGTGAAAACCTACCGGAGACCGCTTAAATGACCGTGAGGCCCTCCTGGTCTTTCAATGTCCATAAAATTGAATGATCGTTTAGACTATGTATATAATTATACAGATAGTATCAAAAGGATTTCCCAGAATAATGTCATCTTCGATATCTACGGAGGGCTTAAATTGTCACTTTTCAGCTAAAAATCGTTGAAAATTCAGGTAAAATGGCACAGGGCGATTGCTAGACACCCTGAACTCTCAATTTTCATAAAATTATGCAAATAGTTAGTAAATATAAGGATATAAATGGCACCAAAAGGAATTTGGGTAAACTTCTTGTCTTCTATGTTTACGG